GCCGAGAAGCCTTAGCGCCTTAACGGCCGCGGTGACGTCAGTCGTGGGCGGGGCCAGAAGCGCGCCTGCGCAGCTGCCCCAGTCCTCCGCTTGTAAAGGGACGTCCGGAGCTGTGCTGGTGTGTGCTGTGTGGAATCGCTGGCTTCCCGCTCTGCTCCTGTGGGTAGACTGTAGAGGTCTTTGGACCACTACCCCCCGCCTCCTTTCGAGCGTTAGTCGTGGAACTGGGCGCTAAGGACTCCGCGTGGAGCAGGACGGGAGTGGGCTCTGCTTTCACGCAATTTACTTTCTAATGGGAGGGAGGGCAGATTTCTAGGAAACAAGGTCAATTTCCCATAGCGACCTGTTCTGTAAGGGCAGAGGTAGAAGTGGAGGTAGAAAGTGAGGGATGGGGTGTGGGACGGAGGTGAGAAGGAGCCAACAGCACAATGAACATTCCAGGCAGGCGAAGGACAGGTGCAAAATGTTTTATGTACATTTTTAAATAAAGGCCATCGTTTTTATTCAGATTCTTGTGAAGAGCTTCCTGGATATCTACTCCCCCCACACACACACACACCTCACCCCCACATATCCCACCACACCAAAGAAAAGCTTAGGATGAGAAATGAGATGGACATAATTTGCCACCTCTCCATTCTGCTTCATCTGATCCCAAGAATTGTTTATTTTATTTTATTTTATTATTTGAGAGAGATAGAGGGAAGCACAGAGGGAGAGTGAGAGGAAGAAGCAGACTCCCCGCTGAGCAGGGAGCCCAACGCAAGCCGCCTCATCTCAGGACCCCGGGATCATACGCCATGCCGAAGGGAGACGCTCAATCGACTGAGCCACCCAGGCGCCCCCTGCCTAACCAAGAGTTGTATTGTGGGAGGAAACGCCAGGGCAATTCCCCCAAATATCCCTAGAACGTCCTATCATTTCTTATAACACACATCAGGTATTTTATGCAGTGTTTCCCCTGAAGGGTGCTATTGGCATTCAGGGTGAAACAATTCCTGACATGTGGGGCTCTTTATAGGACACCATTTGTCCACTGAATGCCATCAATGCCTCTCAGTCATTTTGGCAACCTAAAAGTGCTACCCTTTGTTGAAAACCACTTTTTTTTAAGCCTATTTGCTTTTGCACAAACTTGTTCTCCCAGTGACCACCATCAAATCTTTAGCATAAGGCAGCGTGGAATCGAGAAAAGAAAGCAGGTTTACAGCATTTTTCATCTCAGTGAATTCTACCAGCCACCCAGGAACCCAAATCAGCACCCAGGAGCCATCCTGGATGCCTCACTCTCCACACACCACCTATTGTTGAGCTCTTTTCACTTCCTAAGAATCTCAACCCTGCCTCTCTTTTTCACCCATATTACCTTCTTGCAGCCCCACACCTGCTCTGACCCCCTTCTCATTGGGCCCTTGTATGGCAGTTGATAAGTACCAATCTGACTTGTTCCTTCCAAAGTCTCAAACCATTCAAAAGTTCCATTGCTCTGGGAACTTCTAAAGTGATCTGGGAGGCCCTGCAGGGTCTGGGCCCTACAGCCTCTCTGACCTCATCTTGCACCTTGCCTCCCTTGCTCCCTGCCCTCCGGTGACTTGGGCCTTCTTTCAGACTCGCTCTCATCCTGCCCACTCCCGCCACAGGCCTCTGCACATCCTGTCCTCCTCCCCATCTTCGCCCAGGTCGCTTCCGTCACGTTTCAGCTCACATCACTTCCTCAGGGAGGCCTTCCCTGATACACTCAAGTGTCCTTACTGGAGGTTTTAGTGGGACTTGGCACCGTTGAAATTTTACATCCACGGGGATGACTATTTCACATCTAGCTCCTCCATAGATTGTCAACTGCATGAGGATGAAGCCATGTTTTGCTCGCCATTGATTTCCCAGGGCCCGGTGCTAGCCCCGTACACAGCAAGTACTAAATATGTATTGCATGAGTGAAGTCGGAAGACAAGTGTAAATCCCAGGTCGGGCATCTGAACCTCTCTGGGCCTCCTTTTCTTCTCCGTTTATAAAACAGTCATGATAATACCCCTTCACTGGGCTCTATGAGGAACTAGGTAACAGATTAAACTCTTGTGGGTCCATTGGCTCGGTGTACACTGGGGTCCCTGTTATCTCACTTGCCTTCTCTGCGCTGAGTGCATTTGAGGAGAGTGGTTGTGATCCTCTGCACTGACGAGGAGCAGTGTGGGTTGGGAGGGTAGGAGGTGGCACTGAATCAGAAACCCCTGAAGAACTGGCTTGGAAGTCCCTGCAAAGGAAGACTGCTGGGTGACCCATCTGGTGAGGCATGAGGCTGTTTGGTGGTTACAATGGCGCCTCGTGAGCTGACTGCTTAGGGCTCCCTGTGCTGGGACAAAGCCAGCTCCACCCCCTGCAGGCGGCTCATTCACCACCCGCTCTGAATGCTGTCTTTGTTTTTTGGGGGGTTAGTTCTGTGGGGGGTGCCAAAAAATTGAATGATTTATCAGTGGTATCAGTGGTATGCAGCACTCAATTCCTCTGTACAAAACTAAAGTAGTGGGCCACTCCCCCACTCCTTGTCGTCCAGAAAAGCCGGAGCCGTTCCCTTTCCCCATTTCACTCCTCACCAAGATTCTACTTCCCCAAAATGAATGGCAAACAGCTTTAGTTTAGGTGAGGAGCAGTACCGTTATCAGTTGGCTACCTGAACAAACTTCTGGATTCAAATTTTCCCTGATCTTCCAGCCTGCAGCTGGCTTCTATCATAATGTAGTTCATGATATAAACCATTGAGCCACTGGGGGCCAACAGGCATGTAGTTCAAATGGCTTTACATTCATTTTGGCCTCTGAGCAAATGCCTTTAATTTTTGTATGTGATACGAAATTCCTGACCTAAAGACTGGGCTACAGACCAACAATTTCTGTCTTCTAGAATTTCTTTTTTTTCTTTTTTTAGATTTTATTTATTTGAGAGAGAGAGATAGCGAGAGAAGGAACACAAGCAGGGGGAGAGGAGAGGGAGAAGCAGGCTTTCCGCTGAGCAGGGAGCCCAATGCAGGGCTCGATCCCAGGACCCTGGGATCACAACCTGAGCCAAAGGCAGACGCTTAACGACTGAGCCACCCAGGCGCCCGTCTTCTAGAATTTCTAAACGACATACCGCCTTTATCTTAAAATTAATATAGTGCTTTTTGCTTTTCAAAGCATGTTAACCCCTACGTCTTGATATTCCCAAGACCATGCTGGAAGTTTGTGAGGACAGGTACTTTCTTCCAGGCTCTGGCTTTTACTAGCTATGTGACCTTGGAGGAAGTGGTGTACCGTTTCTGTGCCTCGGCTTCCTCATAGGAAAAAGGGAAGGGATAAAGTACCCACTTCATGGAGTTATGGTGTGAGGATTAAATGAGTTACCAGATGTGAAGCATTTAGGACCATTGGCAATGCTCGATGAACGCGAAGTATTCCCATTACAATAACTGCTGTTATATCCTGGGTGCGAGCCAGGAATTGTTTTAGAATAAAGCTCAGCTTCCTAAATTATCTGGAGAAGTTTCCCCTTTCATTGTAAGAGTACTCCCAGAGCACAACAGCTCTGTTCTTTCCATTACTACTTGTTTTTTCTATACTCTTTCTTACACCCTCAGCCGCACCCAAGCTTCGCTGACTATTCCCTTTGTAGTCTTCTGCCCACTCCTGTTTTCTTACCTCTTACTAGACTAGAAACCTCAGAGTGCTAGAACATGATACTGCCTTTCTACTTGACAGATTTATGCCTTCTACAGTTATGCATGTTTTTTTTTTGTAGCCACTAAGATCTTTTAAATTGGCTGATATTTTGGTTTGGGCACCATGAGAATGAATAACTTAGATGTTCCTTGACATTCTGAATTATTCTTTCCTGGCTCCTGGCCATGCCACTGGGAAACCTCGGGGCAGACTGGTTCAAGGTGCATTGAGAAATACCAGGATGTACTGGATGAAGCTATCAGGGTAACAGGAACATCTGGGGACAGGCACGTGAGAATGCTGATCTTCTGTGGGTGTTATTATATCGATTCCAACTGACACACAAAATAGCGTCCTTTATTGATTTGGAACTAAAACATCAGCAAATTATTTTCTAAACAAAAAGAATATAGATGTTTATAAAACATCAAAATCCCACCGGCATGGAACCAACCATCACTGCATCTTAACTTGAAAGCAGTACCTGGCAGGTATCAGTAGACAACATGGGAACACAACCATTACTGTGCAGTAGGAGTCTCAAATATTGACTGGCATCAACTCCTGGGACATAAATTTGTAATTTATTTTTGCTGTGGGGAGGGTGTGGATACAACCAAAGCCCACAAGACCACCATCTAAACCCCCCTGCGACTGAGTTAAATGTGGGGCCAGGTTCTCGTCCCCAGATCTTCCTGGCATGCAGGGCAGGAAAAGCATTGTTTTTCCAAAACAACCACACCCACAACTATAGTCACTTTTCTTAAGCCTCCTCATCAGGATGCCCAGGATTTTGAAAGAAGGGAAAAATCCACCAATCCTATCTCCAGAATCACAACTCTGTTAGAGCTGAACTGCTCCACAGTCTCTTCCTGTCTGACCCTGGCAACAGGCCTGGATTGTGATGAACCCACTTTGCAAAACCACAAACATAGTTCAAAAAATCCCTTTGTCACTTTGAAAAGAATACAAAGGCAATAACAGACTGAGAAAAAGCACAGCCACGCATGGTGGCTAAACCTTCTTTTCATTTGACAAACAAGTGGCTCCCTTTAGAAACAGTAATTGTTCATCTCAGAAACCACACCCCCCAACGTTGCTTCCAGGCACAAGAAGCTCGTTAGACGCTATTTCATTAATTTTAGTAAATACATTATCTCGATTATGAAACATCACCATTGACTTAACATTTGTGAATCAATGCTAATGAACTGCTTGGGTGGTATTGGAGTTTTCTTTCAGATGCATAAAAAGAGCTATATTATGTTCTATTTCATATACTATAGGAAAATAGGGCTAAATTGAGAAAATGGAACATAAACATCTTGGATATATCTTCAAACAGAGAAGGTCTGAAAAATTAGATCCTAAAGTACGAGACGTTACCTTCACAGTATTTAGGATAAAATGCTTGGTGCTATCAGCTTGGATGTGAATTAAGCTAACAATTCAACAAGGAAACCAGTTTACAAGGAATGTGCTGAGAGTCGACTATTCACAAAAAGGAATAAGCTGGAATGGAGGTATTCTCTGGTTCTCTTTCACTTCCAGTGTTGATACAGAACACAAAAACCTCACAGCCCCCATCTGGTCTCAACTCTAGCTGTGAGATCGCCCCCTAACATCCGTTTCCCTGGGCCCTCTTTGGGTCATGCTAAAAGTCAGGAGAAGAAAACCTCAGAAGGCACACCCTAGATTAGGCCCTACAGGTTGGACCCCATCCTGATGAGCACTTCAGGTGCTCCTTAAAGTGTCTTATCTATCACAGCCCCCCCCCCACTGGCAAGGTGAGGGTCACACATACCACTGATGTGTCTGAAAAAGTAAACTGTCCGGCAGCCTGAGGAATCAGAAATACCTTCTCCCCTTTTTTAATGGCCTTTACATTAATGTGCCCCAGCCAACGGGGCACAGGGCAGCGTTTTCACTTGGGTCAGAAGGTGGTGGAATTCTTCCACTGCCTGCGAGTGCGCCGTGGGGTTTAGCACCAGGTGTTGGAAGAGATTGACAGGCTCAGCATTCCGAAATGTCTTGGGGATCGGGATGGTCAGGGGCAGGAAGGCGTTACCAATGAGGAAATGGTGGAGGGACCTCTGCTGAAGGCCGCGGCCCAAGAACCAGAGGACGTCCTGGAGCCGCTGGGAGAGCATGCTGTGCTGCCAGTCCGTTAGAGGCAGCCGCAGCAACAGGTGCATGAGGGCTGTTTTGAAGTGGTAAGAGGTGAGGACAGGACGGGATGCTCCCTGGGGTAAGCTCTGAAGGTCCCGGAGACTTAAGATGATCTGGAGGCACTTGAGGTGACAGGTGTTCTCTGGAGCAAAACGCCCTACCAGCTTCAGGAACAAGTGTTCACAGGCTGCAAAGGACTCGGGCCAGTCCACGCTGGTGAGCTGTTCCTGGTCAGGAGCCTGACTCACCAGATAAACCAAGGTGTCTTCCCGTTGCACCCCCAGGACCAAGCGGATCGAGAGAAAGCGGCCTGAGCGGTAGTCCAGCCTGAGCTTGCAGGAGGTGGTAGACGGTGGGAGGCTGAGCTGAAAGTCATACTTGTGGGCCACAAGGGCCCAGGCATTGCCCACCATGTTCCGAAACCACTGTACCGTCTTGCACACGTCCAGGTGGGAGCCAGTGCAGAGAGCCACCTTGATGGAGCTGCTACACTTGCTCAAGACAGCCGAGTGATCCCTGTGGTGGTGCACCAGGCACAGCACGTCCCCCAGAAGCTTCTCACGCTTGCACACGCATTCCGACTCCACCAGCACACAGCCACAGCGGCGGCCTAGGGCCGGATCCCTCATCTCCAGCACAAACATAGTGCCCTGCGGGGGAACAATGGGCACCAGAATATCAAATTTCTGGGTTTCGTGGAGGGTTCCCCATTTCTCAAAGGCAGCCCCAATGCCCAGGCAGTCCTCCAGCTGTGGGTGAGCCTCCCGGCGGCTGAGCACCCGACAGGCCTCAATGAGGTCGTCCACGAAGCTCTCCACGAACTCGCAGGTGCAGGGCAGATCACGGGTGACATTCTGGACAGAGTGTTTGTAAAAGGATTCCAGGGCCTCCCTCGAGGGGAAGTCAGTAAGCCAGTTGTAGGAGGTGACAGGCACAACACGGACTTCCTCCTCCTCCTCATCGCTGCTGGAATCAAAGGCCGGCTCATGCTGCATGTTCTGTCGCAGGAGCTCAAAGATGAGAAAAAGGCAAAAGAGGCCAGCATTCCACAGGTTTCCCAGCATCCAGCTCAGTGGCCCCTCCTGGCCACCAGCCTGGAACGGCCAGCCCATGTCTTTCTTCCCTAGCACTAACTGATCACTGGATGTGTCTCCTCTCCAGAAGTTCTCTGCCTTCTGCTTCTGCTCAGCTGCTCGCTTTCTCTCTTCAAACTCTATCTCCAACTGGCGCATCTCCTCGCTCATCCGCTTCTCCAGCTGCCTACTTCTGGCTAGTGTGTCCAGGTCCATGCGGTCACTGACCATCAGGGGGTGGTGAACAACATACATCACTGCCAGGAACACAAGGCTTATCACAGCCATGGAGGCCTCTGCATCTGGAGAAGTAGGAGGGTGGGAGTCAGTGGTGATCTTCAGGATTCATTTTTTCTCCAGTGCATATCCCCCAGAGCCCTGGAACCCCAAATCCTGGAAGTTAACTACTCAGGAGAAACAGGAAGCTCACAGAGCTGGGGTTGTACAGAGCAAGGGTCTGCCCAGGAGGTGGTTTGGGAGAAAGGGGGTCAGCAGGATGTGCCACTCAGTCTTTCTGCTTTCCTTCCACATGGTGTGGGTGGTATTTAGACTTCCAGAGTATGGACATAGCACTGTTTTCCTTCCTGTGTAGGAGGGGGAGGGGGACCCTTGTGGTAGGGTGGCCTCACCCGACTCATCAGTCCACCATGGGCACCAGGTGTGCCCTGCTGATCCCAGAGGCTCCCTTCCAGCGGCAGAAAGCACTGATCTGCCTGGGGGACACCTTTCCTCTGGCCAGGCAGCCAGCCCCAAACCCCAGCTATGGCATCCCACTTCCCCTGTGACTTCACAATCCTCATTCTGCTCACCCTGTGTCATCAGACCACTCAGTCTCTCCTCCCTCGTGCCAGTGGGGCAACTCCCAGTGGGCGCCAGGGAGGCACAGCGCCACCAGCCTGCTCGCGCTGCTTCCCGCTACGCTCTCTTAGGTCCTAAGGCTGGAAGCCCCATCGACGGGCCAGGCACATAGGCAGGCACGCCTCCACCTCTCAGCCCAGGAAAGTTCCCGAAGAACCAAGTGCCCAAAGCCACTTGACAGCCGTAGTAGTCGGATCCTCTGCCTCCCCACCCACCACGAGGCCGGAAGCTTCTCGCAGGCACCCCACAAGTTACCGGGCTTACCGAGATTATGAAGGACTATGCCGTGTGGACGCTGAAGCCAGGTGGGGGACTCTCCTCCCTTTGAAACTTGGCCTTGCTTAGTCTCACCGCCTGCTCCAGGAGCCCTGTTAAAATTTACAAGGTACCTAGCGGCTGTGGCTCAAAGCAGGGTGCCCCCCTCCCGCTCCCGCCATTCAAAACTTTCCCAAATTCCACGCCCAGAGATCTGAACTCTCATCCGCCTTCCCTCTCGGGGGTTTCTCCCGGGACCTGGGGCCAGGTTACTCACCGTCGGTGTTAGCTGGAACACGGTCTTAAAGAGACAGCGCGGCCTGACTGCCCCCGCCTTTTCGCCGGCGGGGTGGGGGCTCCGGGTGCCTCGCCGGGGCCGCCCGGGGGAGTGGCCCCGCTCCCCACTCCCGAAGAACGCACCATCTCGTCGGAGGGTCCGAGGGTCCCAGGATCTGTGCTCGGCCCGCCCGGGACACCCCCACCGCGCCGCGCGCCGCTCCGAGGGCGCCAGCCCCGCACGGCGGCTCCCGCCGTCCAGGCTCCGCCCCGCCCAAGCTCCTCCCAGCCCAACCCCGCCGCCGAGCGCGCCGCGGGAGCGCCGCCCTGGGGCCCCGGTGGCCCGGGTCGCGTAGACGCGCCTTCGGTGCGCCGCTCAGGCTCCCGCGGGGTCGTGTGCAGAACGGAGGGGCTGCAGCCCCGGACTCGCAGCGGAGGGAGGCTCGCATGCCGCAGCTGCTCGGCCTCCCGGGGGTGGCGCCAAGGGCAACTGCAGTGCTGGCAGCCGGCTTCACGCAGCTCGGTGCACCGAGGCGGGGAATGCACCGTACTTACACAGTGACGAGGATGATGGTATAACTGGGAATTGACGGGGGCAGGGGGGCGTCATTCCCGGTCCGGGCGGGTCCTGCGCAAAATGGCACAGGAGCTGAGGTTGTGTGTCGTCAGCGTCCGTATTGTGCCTCACCCCCAGCCCCCGCCCAGACTCAGGTGTCTTTCCCCACCTTCTTCCTATATCAAGTGGCTGTCGTGAAAGGCCAGACGGCACGCGAAGACCTGGCTTGAGGCCTTACTTCTCACTCACTAGCTGTACGGAGTAAGAATCCTAAACCTCCAGGCTAGCCCTGCTGATGAGATGGGCGTACAAAGGAAAACTTTATGAAGTGTGGAGACTGGACAAGCCTTAGGATCCACTAAGATATCCCCACAGAGGGGGCTTCCCGGAAAGGATCTTCAGAGCATCAGAAAGAGCCCCCAGCCCTCCTGTCCTGTGTCAGCTAACCGAGGAGAAAAGGAAGTGCAATCTTTTCATACTTACTAGCTAAAGTCCTTCTGCTGAAAGACAAGTTTCAGCGCTCCTTATCCGGTGGCAATGTAGAGGGGTCCCAAACAACGTGGACAGTGCTTCCAAAAATGCTGACTTACTTCACTGTGGAGGGGGAAAGACTGTCTTCTGACTGGCCATGACTGAAGTTCCAAAGTTTTTTTTATAAACTTTGGGGCTGCTACCACTAAGCATTAGCAAAATGACACGGTGACAATGAAATTCTCTTTATTTCCTAGCTTATGACAATGTTGGGATAAAAAAATACATTTCAGAGTGTGCAAACAATGGTGTTGAAAGCCATGTGTTTAGGGGCACCTGTGTGCTCAGATGGGTAAGCGTCTGCCTTCAGCTTAGGTCATGATCTCCAGATCCTGGGATCAGCCTGCGATGGGCTCCCAGCTCAGTGGGGAGTCTGCTTCTCCCTCTCCCTCTGCCTCTCCCCCTGCTCATGCTCTCTCTCTGTATCTTTTTGTTTCAAATGAATAAATAAAATCTTAAAAAAAAATAATAAGACCATGTGTTTAAAGGTGTGTGTTCAAATAAGGGTTTGTATTAAAAGTGATTGTCGTGTTAGAAGACATTTGCTAGCTCGTGCTCATGAAGTTGGTTGCTATAGCAAATAGACTCCAAGCTAGAGAACTATAATCCATGTAAATATCACACTTAAATCAACAAGAAGCCCTCTGGCAGTGAACATTTCTTGGCCTGTTTTTGGTGATTTATCTGCTTTGGCGTGATGTGAAGTGATTGTCGGCTTAGTGGGATTAAAAGAAAACCAAGTCATTTGGACACCCTGGCCTTCATGCTAATTGGTGATTGTACAAAAATGACATGAGCAAACTGTAGCAGTGGCCACTCATTTAACAACTGAATTCCACTGTGGTGGGATTTACCCTTGTCAAGCAAGGAAACATGGTAGTCCCCCCCCCAAATAATTTTATTTTTATCACTAAAAAATAAGTACAGAGAAAGCAAGTACCTTCACAATCTATGTACAATTCTGCCTCTTGGCCTACAAAACCTAAAATGTGTTTAAGACTACTAGTGTTTATTGGGGCACCTGGCTGGCTCAGTCAGAGGAGCAGGTGACTCTTGATCTCAGGGTTGTGAGTTTGAGCCCCACATTGCATGTAGGTAGAGATTACTTAAAGAAAAAAAAAAGACAATTAGTGTTTCAGTGAGAACAGTTGCTCAAAGACTTGAAAACACTGGGAGAGGGCGCCTGGGTGGCTCAGTTGGTTAAGCGACTGCCTTCGGCTCAGGTCATGATCCTGGAGTCCCGGGATTGAGTCCCGCATCGGGCTTCCTGCTCAGCAGGGAGTCTGCTTCTCCCTCTCCCACTCCCCCTGCTTGTGTTCCTGCTCTCGCTTTCTCTGTCAAAAAAATAAAATCTTTAAAAAAAAAAGAAAACACTGGGAGAAATATCAGTAATCAATCTAAAAACAAGTCATATGATTCTAAGTGATTTTCCTTGGTTTGATAAATCAGTAAATGTTACTAATACTGCTCAGTTGTTGCTGTTTATTCAGGAAGCCAATGCAGAGTTTGCAATTACTGAAGAATTAGACTTTATGAATAGTCTGCATGGGACAACTAGAGGCAAGAATATTTAAAAAGAAGCTGAGAAAACATTAGTTCAGTGCAACCTGACGTGGAATCTGCTAATACATGTTACCACCGATGGTAATAAAAATATATGTGGAGCAGAAAAAGGCTTAGATAGGCAAATTTACAAAGCTTGTGAAAATTTCAGGTGTTAAAGCCTATGGTTATTCATCTTATTATTCATAGGCAGATACTTTGTGGAAAATATTTGAATCTGTTATGTATTCGTGAACCAGTAATGTCAATGGTGATGAACTTTGTTCATTCTCACAGCCTTAAAAATCGTCAGTTCTGGGAATTTTCATCAGAAATAGACACTGAATATTTTGACTTGCCCTACCATCATTATCAGTTTGCAATCTTTTTGAGCTTGGGACTGAGATTAAAATTTTTCTAAACATGAACTGCCCTCAACTACTCTTATCAAACACTGAATGACTTTGGAAATTAGCTTTTGGTTGCAGACTTGATACTGGGGGTTTTTTTGGTGGTGGTGTTTTGTTTTTTTTAGGTAGGCTCCATACCCAGAATGGAGCCCAATGGGGGGCTTAAACTCATGACCCAGAGATCAAGACCTGAGCTGAGACCAAGAGTCAGACGCTTAACTGACTGAGCCACCCAGGTGCCCCTTGATACTGTTTCTTAATGAATGTAAAATTATAAGACAAAATGGTGTTTATATGTGAAATTTATTCTCTGATGAAATTATTTTAACAAACTTTGAATCACAAGTAATATCAAGCTGCTTTTTACACTTCCTGTGCTGTTAAAAATAAAACAAGAAGCAAGATGTCCATTGCTACATAAATTTGTAGCAGATATATTTTCTGAGCTCAAACTACATACAATTCCAATTCCAGCAGAGTTTGTCAGACATCAGTGCAAGTGGAAAGAACACCTCCATATTTCAAAATCCATTTAACTGTGCAACTGAGAATCTTCCACATAATCTTCAATTAGAAGTGATAAATCTGCAGTGTAATGACATACTAAAAAGGCAAATAAGAGAAGAATGTGATTACATGAGAATGAACATGCTCAATTAAAATCATATGCTTGTGGATTAATACATCAATATTTGTTAGTAACTATTGAAAAACATTTTCAAAGAGGCAATATGTAATAACTCATTACAGATCAGCATTAACAGTTGAACATTTGCAATCAATTTGGATGATAGGAAACATTATCCTTGGCCCTAATTAAGTGACATGTTATTTCCCAAAAATAAAAGAATTCCGTTCTTTTCATTAGCAGCCCCATATTACCAAAAAAAAAAAAAAAAAAAGCACTTGGTCAAAAAAAAAATACAGGCCAATATCTGATGAATATAGATGCTAGGAAACATTATCCTTGGCCCTAATTAAGTGACATGTTATTTCCCAAAAATAAAAGAATTCCGTTCTTTTCATTAGCAGCCCCATATTACCAAA